GAATGTATGGAACTGTATCTTTGCAGATGTTTGCAGAAATCTTACTTGTAACCTGATTCATGTGTACCATAAAGGAATGTAGCCAGATTATTAACCGCATAATCACTCTGATTTTGCATATAATGGTACGTACATGTAATGGTACTAGACATGCTGTTGCCTTCTTCCCGACGTGTGTATAACCTAGAAGTTTTATTTCAAATCAGTGTTTCACTTCAAATCAGTTGTCTTCAAAAGCACTAAATATTTTCAATGGATTTATTAGCTGTCGGAACTTGTGTAAGGAATTTTGCACCCAAATATAACTAGTACTATTTTCTTGTAGGGGACCTTTTAATTTAGCCAAACAACGTTTGAGACTTTAAGGCTTGGAAACCATATCATTTAAATGAATAGCAAAGTTCTTTGATCACAACCATTTATTTTGTACGAGCCCATGTTTCGATGACCGTCTGTCATCTTCATCAGGGCAATTCTGACTGGTTTACTAATGTGCACTGACGCTAGATGTAACTTGGTGCATAGTGCACTAAAGGTGTTACATAGTTCACAGTGCACTATTCTTGGTTCACAGTGCACTTAAGCTAGTTTTTACTGTTAACAATGCATTTCCGAACGTTGTGTAATTGTGACATACATATTAGGCATTGTTACATCATTGGGACATATGCGGTTCCAAATGTAAAGTGGCTCTATCTATAATATAAATTTGTGAACTAACAATACTGAGCTATCATTCGTTGCTATTCATTCGTTTACTAACCTGATGAAATTATTTATGGAAGAATACTTTGCATCTAGCACTTTGATGTGTCGTGTTACCTCACTAAAACCTTCACATTTCTGCTGCTTAAGCACGTAAACAATAGACGATCGGTATGTAAGCAAAAGGCCTTCAAATAGCCGTTTGGTTACGTAACAATTTTCTATTGTTTACTTGGTTTGGCAGCAGGGAGAAGGCGAAGGTTTATCGTCGTTAAGGCATCCAAACCCCTTCAGTAGCCTTACGCGCATATCACTAGTCAGAAACATACCCAAATTTGGTAATATGGGCCGTGTTTTCGTAAGATCTTCCTCTGGTGATCCATAGTAAAACAGCAGATTAGGCTCTCTTGGGGTATACTAAGGGGAATTCAATTCGTGTTTACAACATTTCAGTACTTGGATATTCATAACTTTCTTACGTAAGGTTGTAGACAAATTAAAGGTGCATATAACTGCGTGTTAGTCTTTGAAGAGCTAGCCTTGGAGAGGGAGGCAAGAAGGAAGGTAAGTCGCTTAAATTTGTTTAAAAAATGGACAGTATTCAGGACTACTATACCTTATTTGTAAACACTATGGATATCTCTGAAAAATCGTATTGTAGCTTCTTATGGATCCTTTTTATGTCATTTTATAAATGAGCATGCCTTTGTAGATGTAGCAAGTTGTTTTTTTCTGCAAGCTTCGTGGTTTGAAAATTCTTGACAAAATATTGCAAAATTATGTCATCGTCATATATTATATATGCCTAAATATCTTAGAAACTTAAGTAGCACTCGTTCATTCTGGAAAAAAGATGTTGATTTTCACTAAAAGAGGCGAACGAAAACAACATGGCTCACAGCAGACATATAATTGGCCGGTTACTTGTTGATGTTCTGACATCTAAGACTTGCTTGTCAAATTCCACTGGAGGCCAGTAAACAAAGGCACAGTACTAAAGAGATATTTTGAACAAATTTTGCCCATTTTTGTGCCGTGTTTCTTCCATTTTTGTGCATCTATTCCTAAACAGCTGTCTAAGGTAGAAACGCAAAGCAGGATTACATTGTGGCAGTTAGATGCTGTGTTGGCCGCCTTCCAAACCGCCGGTTTTAACTTGTCTATACCAGGCTCCTGTTGGTTGCTGCAAAAAAGGAGGAATATTGGCCAAATAGACTGAACGATATGCATAGAATGAATAGCAAAGTTCTTTGATCACAGCCATTTATTTTTTTCGAGCCGACGTTTCGTCTGTCATCTTCATCAGGTCAATTCTGGCTGATTTAGTGTGCACTGACGCTAGATGTTACTTGGTGCATAGTGCACTAAAGGTGTTACGTAGTTCACAGTGCACTGTACTCCAGTGCACTAGGTCAGTGCACAATAAACCAGTCAGAACTGCCCTGATGAAGATGACAGACGGTCATCGAAACGTCGGCTCGTTAAAAAAATGGTTGTGATCAAAGAAATTTGCTATTCATTCGTTTACCAGCCTGATGAAATTATTTACGGATATGTATAGAATTACAATTTGGGTTTCCTGTCGAATCACCATCTTAAAAAAGATAGAAAAACATTATTTGAACCTAGCAATTAACTCAGCGCTCAACCAATGGGTTACGAATTATGATATGATGAAGAAATTGTATTTCTATGACCGGCTTGCTCCTCATGCATATTATTACCATAAACGCATAATATGTGTCTTTAATTCATTCAGTCATTCATTTATTCAGTCTATCTGGCAAATTTATGCCATTTCCAGCAAGTCCTTGGAGTCTGGAACGTTCAAACACACATAGTCAGGCACTAGATAAGTGTAGCTTTGAAACACATAATTGTTCACTCTGCAAAAATAAGCTCATGGTAAATCTCATCCTTTTTGGACTAGGATGAAGCTAGGCGGGGGCAGGGTGTCTGTCCTACCGATAGCGCTGTTCCTTCTCCTCTGTGTTACCCCGTGGTGCGATGCTGGTAAACGTTGGCACAATCGCCCACGCAAACTAGTTTCCGGTCCCAGAGTACTCCAGTATGGGCATAATCACGGCACCATCAGTGGCCGATGCCACCATGGACGTATGGGTACGTACTGTTCAGTTTTACCTCTGGGGAAGGAGATATCCCTCCGCCGGAAGGTACTGTGTGTTCGGTCGTGTTTGTGTGTTCGCAGCTTTAACTCACGGAGGTGGTTCCACAAAATTTGTTTGATTTCGGTACATAGTTAGTTATTGGTATCTGTATTTTCAGGCATCGAAATAAAATAATTCGACACCCCCGTGCTGTATGTGGAGTAGTATCATCTATCATTAACAGCTGAGTTTCACTGTAGGAGTTAAGCAGTGTGGGACTAATGGGCTATACTACACTACTTTCAGAAGGGTTTCTAAGGCTATATTGTGTTATTATTATGATATCAATCATCTTTCAAGTTATGTTGTGTTGCTGTAAATTTAATGTCTGAAATTGTCATCCGTTGTTCCTAATATCATATACTGTCCGGGGTTGGGTAATTCTTTTTCATTTTTTCAATCTTTTTATTTCATTGTTTTTATTTTTTTTAATTTGTTTTTTTACTTTTATTTATTATTACTATTAATTATTTTCAATTATTCTTATACTCAAATTGATTTATTTTTATTACCATTTTTTATGTTCTTATATTGTAGAAAAATCTAATAACTGCAAATTTTATATTGTTTTAAAGTGTTGAAAGGTTGAGCGAATATATACCGCTTATTATGTACCTTGCGTGGTTTGTATGGACCAATCAGATTGTTTTGAATCATTTATTAATTGCCACTTTTAAACAACTTGGGTCCCATTTTGCTCTGTCTTTAGGCGGAGGTCGCCCGCGGCATATTGTTGCAGGCTGCAGAAAGACTGAGAACCCTGTTTTCCTGCCTAATCAAAAGTTAGTGCAGATTCCAGCTGGTAAACTAGTTCCCGCCGGTACGACCTGTCTCGCTCTAAGCCGTAACTTCATCTCCGGTCTTGGGCCTCAAACCCTGGCACGTCTACCAGCTCTAGAGGTGAGATACAGATTGTTGCGATCTTGGGGGTCTGCTTATTGGTGATACACATCTAAGGAATGCGATCTAAGCCCCTTAGGTGTGCCTGATGATTAGAAAGTAGTACCAGGTAAGGAATCTTAGGTATCAGTGAAATGCCTGATGATGAATATATAACACAGATTGGCAAGATTTGTTTTGTATAGGCAGTTCCTCCCAATTATCCGAATGACAGCTAGAAAACTTTTACTCCCCCGAACTATGTCATTTGAAAACATTTTCCTCTTGCTGTGGACAGAAATTGACATGGATCTTTAGCTATTATCTCCTTGTAACCCATACTTATATACCAAGAAAGTATGGGGACATGTTACTGGATTCTGTTGCTGGATTATAATTGTCTCTCTCTTTGTTTATCTGTGATAAAATGTTAACGAAATTTCGTGGATTTTGCATTCATAACACTGTTGCCAACTTAAGACAGACAGTAACACTAAAATTTTTATTTTAGTTTCTGTTGCTCCCAGGAAACAGGCTTACCTATATCGCACCGGAAGCGTTCAGCCATGTGCCCAAACTCAAAGCATTGAATCTCGCCCAAAACCAACTGACGGACTTCCCCTGGGGACACATGCAGGTATTGCAACAACCTTCTACTTACTTGTACTCGTACTAGTAGCATTGTCTGGGGATGGCTAAACTGTGGGTTTGTGTGTCTGTTATTCAGGCAGTTAACACGAATTTTCTCACAGACTATTGTCTCCGAACTTCTTATCCCTATCTGTACCTTAGGCACAGTCGTCACTGACATTCTTGGACTTAAACGGAAATCATCTGACGTCACTTCCGGCCAACGCCTTCAAGTTTCTTCCCGCCATGACCGAACTGCGAATCACGAACAACAACTTGATGTCGATTCCCCGGGGAATATTTGATGACGTTCCTCGTCTTACAACGGTAGATAACGCTTTTTCTTATCATGAAAGTTCATCTGTGTTAGAACTTGCATGTTTAAAGTTAAAACTTTTGATCCAGCACAAAAAGTCGTCTCACCTAGAGCTTTTTCAATGGTCTTCCTCAGTAGACTGACCCAGTGGGGCTTGTCACGTGACTTCTTTGAAATGTGACCTCAACACTGGGTCAAAGGTAGACGATGTCGGCCCCCGTCGCGGTTGAGTGAAGGGTGATGGGCTTTTTCTTGTACGTCTCGTGCCAACTATTAATTATTAAGGTGTCATTAATGTTCAGTTAGAATAGTACAAGTTATATAATCAGTCATGGAGCCACCCCAATGTTTCTGTGCAGGTTCGGATGTCGCAGAACCCATGGAAGTGTGACTGTGACTTTCTGGTGTCCTACAAGACCTTCCCAGCAGCCATCGCCCATATGAATCCCGGAATGACCTGCGCGTCCCCCCCGGAACACCGCGGCAGGACAGTGTCGACCATGATACTAGGTAAGAACTTTTTTTCAGACCGTGCCATGGGTAGTGGGGATAAGCCTCTAACAGGCTTCGGGAGGCGGCTGGAAAGAGTAGAAATTGGCCAAATAGAGAGATAACATCCCAGGTGCGGCAAAGCGTACTCTCTAGCGGACTAACTCCATCGACATGTTATCTCTCTATTTGGCCAATTTAATCTACTCTTTCCAGCCGCCTCCCAAAGTCTGGTAGAGGCTAGTGGGGGCTGTACTGAGTACAGTAAATCCCCTAGTTAATGTTTTTAAGGATTTCCGTATTGTTGTATTTTTAAGCTTTTAATACCGTTTTTTAACCCGTATTATGGTACAGATGTTAAATTTTATTATACACCAACGTTATTTGTTATACTTATATTCAAGTACCAGAGTTATCAACCAAGGATTGAGGTGTTCAAAAATTCATTCTTTCCTAGAACTATCGCAGAGTGGAACTCACTGTCACCAAGTACAGTAGGGGCATTGTCAATAGATAGCTTTAAACAATGTCTAGAGCTAGAAGTTCAAGGGTTAGGTGTAACAAGTCGATCGGTGTAATATAGCCAGCTGCCGCCGCGCCGCGTGCCTGCGAAGCTGGTGTGTTACGCCGAAAGGCGGTTATACCGGCTATACAGATACAGATACAGATATATAATAATTGACCCTATGTTTTATCTTAATACGAGCTCTGAAAATGTTTGTAAAGAATCCGCAATTCAGCCCGCGGGCTGCAAGCGATTTGCAATTTTAATAAACCATTCATCATCATCATCATCATCTATCCATAAGTAATTCTGACGTTTTAATTTTCATTCAGGTTCAGGATGTATCGATGCCTCAAAGGGAATCGAGAAGGGAGCGGGTAACAACGGCTATGGGAAGTATCCAGCAGGGGGCGGGTTTCTTTTCCTGAAACAGTGGCTTAAGCAGGTTGGAAATAAGGCCCTTCTCCAGACAACAACACAGCCATTTTCATCCAGTCGTCCCCAGCCTGTCCAGCCGACTGCTCGCTCTACACTCACCGCAGACGACCAGAAGACTCCAACTGAGAACGTATATCAGAAGAATCCGGACATTGGCAAAATCCGTTTTACTACCCCAACTCAGAACCGATATCGGAAGAATCCGGACATTGGCAAAATCCGTTTTACTACCCCAACTCAGAACCGATATCGGAAGAATCCGGACATTGGCAAAATCCGTTATACTACCCCAACTCAAAACGGATATCGGAAGAATCCGGACATTGCCAAAATCCGTTATACTACCCCAACTCAAAACGGATATCGGAAGAATCCGGACATTGCCAAAATCCGTTTTACTACCCCAACTCAGAACCGATATCGGAAGAATCCGGACATTGGCAAAATCGCTTTCACCACCCCAACTCAAAACGGACATCAGAAGAATCCGGACATTGGCAAAATCACTTTCACCGCCCCAAATCAAAACGGATATCAGAAGAAACATGTTGCAGGGAAGATCGGTGGTCCACCGGTCACAACAGAAGAGGACAATACCAAGAAGAAGACAGTCACAAAAATGAAAAGACGTGACGGCGCTACCACACCCGCCAATGCTGATCTGATCCATACGTCTCCGCTTGTCCGACTTTATGGCCATTCCACTCAGCGATTGTCGGACAAGGATCATGGAACCGTCCAAGTGAATGTCCTACCAAGCCAACCGACCACCTCTGAATGGCCTAAGCCTAAAGCTCGGCCGACAGACAACGATCCCGTCTTTGGACCACGACTAACACCGAAGCGACAGAAAGTCCAAGACCTGCCCAAACCGAACGATCTTACCACCCACTACCCGCCGACAAGTACGGTCACCTCGACAACACTGAAGCTCACCACCCTTTTCCAGTCGGTTCGACCAATGAGAAAGCACCACGTGAAGATGTCCTCCAAGACAGCAGCATACGAGGATACTCAACGAGAAATCATAGGTATGCTGACAGTCATATTTTAACAGTATTAGTTTGGGTTACAGGCACTTTAGGGGTCCTGATTATGACAGTCAACAGATTGTATTGTAACTTAGTTGATGCGTATGCTTGAATGATGATGGCTTTCATAACTCTGATGGTAATGGCATTTCATATCTTTGATGTCGTTACAAATGAACATATGGCGGTTTTGTTTCTGTTTCTGTATGTTTGCTTGTGTGGTTGCAAAGTTAAGTGATAGTATGTGGAATTACCTAACCACAGACTTAGGTCTCAGAAGCTGGCCAGGAGCTAACAGGAAGTATGCCTTAGAAAATAAATAAAACCAAATGTTTACCTTCATAATTGGTATAGTCTAACAAAATACTGCTTTACTCAAACATTGACATTGAATATATGATATATAGTAAGCCACCACTCTAGCTCCGTCCTGCTACATAATGTAACCCTACAGCACATTCTGCTACAATGCTAGTTACCATGGTGGTCCATATCATTGACCTTTTTTGTTTGGAGAAAAAGAGGAAGAAACTGAGCAAAAACTAGTATGCGAAGGAAAACCTGACAAGAAACTGACATATACTCTCCGACTTGTTTTATCAGGGGTGAGCTTGGGCCTTGTGGTGATGGTTACGGGGGTATCTTGTGTTGCGATTGCGTTGAAGATTGCCCGGTCAAAGCGACCGAAGGTGAAGAAGGCAGCCATGAATGATGATGATGACGACGAGATACAACCCTACAGTACCAGGTACGACTATGTTTCCTACCGTGACATTTTCGGTAAAAGAGCAAGAGAGAAGCCACCGTGGCGTATGAAGTACTGAAAAGTTACAAACCTTATTGATTGTGTGCAATAGGATTATGGTGATGTCCAAATGTATGAGGTTTGTTTTAATGAGATTGGAACGACGGTGTATGTATAATGTGCGTTTTCTGATCCTTGCAGGTACTTAACAGACGAGGACAGACAATCCCAGACAAACCACTATTACCTTCCAGCCGACCACAACATCGTTCGGCACACTTATATTGACCCCAACTCTCCAGAGGCAAACCGACGCGAGGGAAATGCAGACCGTAAAGATGGCGTCCAGGCCTACCTCAAGAACAAGCTGAAACTACGTGGACCTCGGCCAGGAGAAGGCTACGATGATGCCGGACCGGTTTACGCTAAGCCAAACCGCTCCAAGAATCTACCGGTCACGCCCAAGGCAGGTCGACTTGACACAGAAGAAAACACAGAGCCAGAGTACGAAGTCGCTGTTCCGGTGTACGCCAAGCCTAACCGCTCCAAGAGCCTACCGGTGACGCCCAAGATGGGTACCGTGGAGACCAGAGAACCAGGAGATGATTACGAAGTTGCCGTTCCGGTGTACGCCAAGCCCAACCGGTCCAAGAGCCTACCGTTGACGCCTATGGTAGGTCGTCGTCGTCAGCCAGAGGGAGACTACAAAGATGCCGTGCCGGTCTACTCCAAGCCAAACCGCCCCAAGAAGCCAACGGACAACCTCCCGGCAACGCCCCGGCTCCAGAACAGAGAGCAACCGGACAAAGTGCCAATGCATACCGAGTCGAAGAAGCCAACCATGGAGAAGGCAAACAGCCCAGCTCCCATATACACCAAGCCTATCCGTCCCAAGAAGTCAACTGATAACAATCTATCGGCTATCGATGAGGAAGACCACGAGTATGAAGAACCCTGGACCTACCACGCCACCACTCAAGGGAAGGGGATTCTGAAGCAAACCTATCTCGGCATGAAGGGAGGACGTCAGTGGGAGATAGAGGCCAACAAAGACGGACAGCAGCCGGCAAAACCGAACATCTACGACAAACCGGAAGTTGTGATCGGCCGGATTCAGCTGTCAGGTGGAGTGTGATGGAGGAAATTTGAAGCATATTCTCCAAACAGATGATGGATGGATGGATGGATGGATGTATGGATGGATGGAGGATGGATGGGTGGATGTATGGAAGTTATGTATGGACGGGTGGATGGATGGATGGGTGGGTGGATGGATGGAGGATGGGTAGATGGATGGATGGATGGATGGATGGAGGATGGGTAGATGGATGGATGGATGGATGGCCTATGGATGGATGGAGGATTGGTGGATTCACTGATGCATTGATGCATGGATGGATGGATGGATTCACTAATGCAAGGATGGATGGATGGAGGATGGACGGATGAAGAATGGATAGATGGTTGTATGTGCATGCGTAGATGCCATGGGTCTATCCAGTCCATGACACAAGTCATTTTATTTCCTAGTGCAAATGAGAGTCTCACCAAACATCCGTCTAGAAAGGTCCCGTTCCACACCAAGTGGAGCATGGGGGTAGTGCCCATCTACCTTTCTGTCGCCCTTGGGCCACACAGTTGTGAAAGCACTACAGCAGGGGGCTAGTCCATTGGCCTCTAAAAGAGAACAACCTTTTTGCACTTGTTGGCAAATGCCAGCTATTGAGCACTTTTTCTGAGCAAGGTGAATGTTTTTTCTAGAACCTTGTAGAGCAAAATCATTACCTAATATCAATATATTTGTGTGAGTAAATTACAATGATGACAAGGCAACATTGTTGCAAAAATGTAGTAGCAGAAGTGAACATTTTCTACACTTCAGTGGCACTGAGGAAAATACATATAAAATAGATCACAAGAACAATTTTAATTGTTTTAAGAAAGGTTCAGTATAAATGTTTTCAGTGACCGTATTTACTTTTTTTTCACATTTGTTGTATCTTGACTAAATCGCACTTTTATCTGCCCTCCCATTCGTCAGGCCTTAGCATTAGTACACCTTGTATTTTGGTGTCATAATCACTTTAAGTAAGGTTCATTTGCGGATTGTGCGTTGGCTATGTATGCACCAAAGAGAATATAAGGCTTTTATCGCAGGAACTAGAAAAGTTATCAATTGTAACCGCATGGTCAAATGAGTGGCCGACCACCAAAGTATAGTAGTGTCCTATAAGCAAACATCCACAAAAGTAAAATGTAATGAATCATAGTGAGAATCCAGAACGACAGCTGAATTGCAGAATTGATTGGTTAGGCCATGTTGATTTGATTATATGGATGACATCCGCGCGCGCATGAATTTTCGGCCGTTTCCAAAAAAAAAGTTTTCAACCATACTGTAAATTGTACAAAACAGTTGCAAAATGAGCAAAAATATACCATAAGTTACAAAAAAATTAATAAAAACTATACCAATGTCGTAGAATGCCAAAATTAAACGAAAAAAGACGGAATTGTAAAGAAATGAACTTGAAGACTAGATTATTCGCCAAACCATATTCTGTGTCATTTGCTCAACTCTCATGACCACGTAGATTTCATGATGAAAAGAACTTTTTTTTTTTGAAAAACTTTTTTTTATTCGCACGCGCGCATCAGTTTTGGGGCTCCCGGAGGATGTCATCCATATAATCAAATCAACATGGCCTTACCTGGAATCACAAAGAGCTTCATAAAGGTGAAATTAAGTAAAAAGTAACTTATACTTGAATTGCCAAGTACCCGTAAGGTACTGAAGTGTATTGTGGGTAGTACGTATACAGATGTAACGTTAATGTAATTCTGTAAATCTTGCAATGTTCGCGTGGGGTTTAACTAATTTTTGAGGTGCATGGCGATGCGTATATTCAAATTAATTTAAACTAGAAAGGTAACATTTGCAAAGCAAATGCATAATGTTTACCTTCGCATATGGTCTGCTCTATTAATTCTTACTCAAACACATTCATATATATGGTCAGACAGGAGTCTAAATCCCTCCTGCTACAAAATTGCAACATGATGTACTAGTAACCCGACACTAGTTACCATGGTGACAGACGTCTGGTTCAGGTCATTGACCTTATTTGTTTGGAGAGGGAAAAACTGAGCAAAACAATGTTTCTTTCTGCGAAAGTACACCTAATTATTACTACATATATTGTACTACAGGATTGTTTCAACCACTAATCTAAAACACCAGGAAAATCATTTTTCTGCGAAATTAATGAATTGTCTCCGCGATAATAAATGGATTTACAGTATAAATCAGAACCACGTTTTTTTCTTATTGTTTCTTCTTTTTACTAACAACTTGCTGTAGCCCTCTGCGCCTGCGCGTAATACTGACCTTTGCCCTGCAGTACCATGATGAACCACGCCGCGCATGTGCTTTAGATACTAGCAAGCAGCGTACCCTGCAGTTCCACTCTAGGCCGCTGTGGGAGTTGTTTTTTACCTCACGGCTGCACAATCAGCAGATGAGATGGGTAAATGACACAGGTTTATGATTGGCATTAGCACCGGATAGCAGCCGCTTTAGATCTTTGCTAGATTAGCTTCACCATTTTAAGCGCCTCTCGACTGCAACCCGATCTACCACGACTGTCTCCCAACCTGCACACGACAATTGGGACTCGTTGACACAAAATATGTCTTCTGTTCTAATTTCTGACCACATGGTTATAGTATAAAGTTTAAGAAGTATATATCAGGGATGTGAGAAACATACCGTCAAACCCTCCTGTAGTAAACAAAAGCACGCTATATTTATGGCAATATCTGACAATCTTACGGTATTTGTGACTCCCACAAAAGGAATATACGTATATTTTGTTCCGTTGTCTATAGCCTCCTTCGCAGACTTTTGGCGGCGTTATTTTTTGCGGGGAGCGACTCGAGTTATGACGCGGAGGGAGTTTTGTTGGGGAGGGAAAATTGCCGCGGAGGGATTTTTTGGTGACGGCTACGTTTTCTAGTAGTAGACACGAAGGCCTTTCTAGGATGCATTTATATGATGGCAACATCTGATTGTTCTGTCAACCAAAGGACAAAACATCGCATAGTTTTCTCTACTTGTTTATCGCTTCAGTACCTATTCCACCCCCTAGTTTCTGACATTTATGGAGATCAGGAGATACAGCGCTTCCTAAATCGTCTTTTGATACCGGGTAAAATACGAGTAATGGGCATGGGCAAATACTTGCCTTGGCTACAAATTAGTGTCTAGCAACTAGATATGGTGTTGTTTGTTGTGTGCTGCGAGGTGCAATTTTACAACTCTCATCATCGAAGAAATAAATGACTTAGAAGAGAGATGTGGAAAGGATGAAAGAAGCAAGAATGCAACACACGAATAGAATATCAGGAATCAGCATATTCCCATAGACATGAACAGTTTCATTAGGCTGGTAAGTCAGTGTTGTATTCAGGCAGGTTCTGCATACGCATGGAGTATCGCGAGAACCATGACTGCATTTGTTTTATTCCAACAATTCATGACAACCATGGTGACGGCACACTCAATTTTTTTTTGACGCAGAGCACAAATACTGAACAGGACAATAGTAATTTACTCGAGTTAAGTGAGGAAAGTCGTGTAAAAGGTATGGTGGCATGTCAGGACTCGAACTCGGGACCTCTTGGTTCTGAGTCGAGCACTGCAGTTCAATACGCCATACGACCCCACACGACTGCATGACTGCATTAAGGTTCTGGATATAACACGGTGTACGGTGGCTACATTATCTGCCGCTATACTGCTAGTTACGTACTCTACGGGTTATGACCGTCCATTGTACCCGCCTAATCATGAAACGTGCGTCAATCAATCCACAGATAGAGTCTGACAAATACACGGTATTGTACAACAGAGACGTGTATCTGTCCTCACATCTACCCGGGGCCCACACGGCGCCTCGTAATACACCAATTAGGGCCGGCTTGTAAACACATTGGGCCGGCTAATCGTCTTAAGATACGACGAGAAGAATGTCTTCTCTAAGAGCCATTGTCATGAAAAGACGAAAGAGGGATCTACATACAAAGTCCTGCCGTGCAGGCAATAGTGAGTCGATCCTTTGTGTTTTGGCAGAGCTCTAAAGCAGGGTAAACTATCGGTGATAATGTTGTGAATGGGTTTGTAGGTCAGACCAAGGAAGAAAAGGTCAGCGTCGCAATCAAGGCCACTCTAAACTACTCTCCAAGCAGAGGTTTGGGTTTTGGCTTATTTTGGTGTGTTTTTATGCTTTTTTTTACACTGGTATATAGGTAAAAAAAGAAAACCTAAAAACACGCCAAAAATAAGCCCAAACCCCTACTTGCAATTGGAGAATAACCCTAAAACCTTCAAAGCATGTCCCATGTCAAAGATACGTTGCTTTAAAGCTAGTAACAAGGTGTAAGTACCATAGGTCCGAGTTTTCGTCTGATGCAAATAAAGAAATGGGCAACGAAGTGGCGCCAAATTTCAGGTCTTATCATAGTTCGAGGTGATTATCGATATAACCTCTACAGCAGATTTGATTAAAGGTCGCTAATTAAACATCTATGTTATTTAATTGCTCTTTGATTGGGGAGAGAACGAGGTAATTGTAAGGGTTATCAGGAGAACGGTGGTTAGCAACCGACAAAGTTTACCGCATACACAAATATAACCGTCTTTAATAACGAATTAATCTTACATATCTTACGGTTTGGGACAAGAGTGTAGCGGAGACCCAAATTCTTTGAGCAGAAGCTTGGCACAGATGGTGCAAGTTGGTGTCATATTTTTTTGTTCAGTGATATGGTGGTGTCAAACTATAACATATTGACGAACAGTCAGCTCATAACAAAGGCACAGCCACTGTCTTGGACTGACAACTTTTTAAAAGTGTATGATACATTTTACAACTTTTTATAGCGACACAACACTTAAAGGGACGAATTCGTTGCTACTGGTGTTGTCGGCTAGGTACTTTTGATGTGTTTTAATTTGTGAATAACGTTACATAACAGTATTTTTGTGTTAACCACGGTCCAAACATATATACAGTGTATATCGATACAAAAGATATTTAAATGGCATATATACTTACTTTATGGCATATGTATCCA